CGAATCTTGGATATTCATCTTGCTCTTTAATGAGAGAAAAAAAAAATAGTGGCCACGTCGTTTCGAATTTTTTTTCATAATATTCATTCGGTGTGTACATGATAGGTGGAGAGAAGGTTGCACAAGGATTCATTATGCACACCTGTTACCCCAAACTCTGAACTTGGTCGTTTCTAATATTTCGAGGCAAGGGGGAGGAGGAAGTACAAAGTTGATATAAACAAAGGTCAGGGAAATTCGTGCGAAACTGCTTTAGGAATTTTGTAATTTGCGAGTCAAATTTTATTTTGAGGGGAGGAAAACAAATTGAAGAAAGAAAGATGAGAAAGAAAGAAGAAGAGGAAGAAAAAGAAAGAGCTAATTTTTCTGTCTTTTGGATCGAATCATTATTTATTGATTTTAAATATAAAAATAGAATTATCGGAGAAAAGTTTAGCGCTTGATTTATTGATACTTGAAATACGAATAGATGGAAATTCTTGGAGAAAAAAGTTAAAAGAAGGATTTAGAAATTGAAATTTCTCCTTTTCCCGTGTTTCTCAAAGGGAAAATTAAAACGTGTAACGAGGGTGATGAAACGAAATGCAATTACAGTCAACACTCTTTTTTTAAAAAATGAAAAAAAAAAAAGAGAAAATTCGAAGCATTGAAAATTCCAAATTCGCTGGAATTTATATTTTGCCAATATTTCATTTCTTTTTCATCAAACGTGAATTAAAAACGACGAAGAAAAATATGTAAAGAATATATATATGAACTCATATTTTTTTTAATTAAAAAGGAGGAAAAACTTAGAAAGAATTTCGCATAAATTCCACGAATTTTAAAATATTATTTTAGAAGAATTTTCGATAAATAATTAACGAAAAGTCATCGTGCCAAAATAAAAAAAAAAATTAATAAAAATTCCAATTCTCTCAAAAGACTTCCAATAAAGTATCATCCAAGACCAATATAAACAAAGAAACAAAAAAAAAAAAAAAATCAATGATACAATCTCTCAAATTCCATTTCAACGCACGAGATTCCCAAATAATTCCTAAAATAAAATAAATTACCAAAAACTTCACGATCGATAGATAAAAAGAATGAATAAAAAGGAGAATACCTTGAATCCCAATCAAGATCTCCAATAAATCGACAGAAAAAAAAAAACCTCATCCTCAACGAGTAGAAAGAGATTCCACTTCTTCAAAAATACTCGATACAGATCCAATATACCCTCAAGTACTTCCCCACATTCGCCCCTCCCCTCACAACAAGATCGTCCCGAAACCATCCTCTACCTACCAACTTCTTCCAAAGTTTGTTTGTTTCGAACCCTAAGCAGGATCAACCCTCCTCCACCAACCAACTCCTCTTCTCCTCGAGGAGAAGGAAACCACGATGGCCGCCATTCTTTCGTAAGAGGTTTGGAGGGAGGAAGGGAGAAAAAGCCAAGTCTAACCTGGAGTGTCCTGAAATGTTAAATTAGGGATCAAGGCGGAGCTTGTCAAGGCTGTCCTCTGCGCTAGATTTTATCGAAACACCACGAGGTGGATAAACATCCGATCGATCAGCCGAGAGATGATGGCTAAGAGAGCGCGATAAATTGGGGATAATAGGTGGGATAGGTAAGGAGATCAAGCTCGTCGTTGATTACGCACCAACGACGAGCCTCCTTCGATCTGGATCTGGGATAATGCGCATTGCCCGTTCACTCGATAATTTGCGATCATTCGCGGGATATTTGGGGATCGATGATTATCGCCTGGCTGGATTGTCTGTCTGTAATGAGATCTCAGGGGAACAACTCGTGTCTTGGTTAATCAAGATTTTTGGAAATTGCATTCTGTAAAATATGGAAATTTTTGCAGAATTTTCTTTAACAATAGTATTGAGATATTTCAGCAGTATTTGATAATAGTAAAACGTTCGATAATGAGAACTTGTTGGACGTTATCGATCGTAATCTTAGAATTTCTCACGATCAATCTTTCATTTCTCTCAGAGCTAAATTTCTTTCAATCTTTACATAAAAATTTATCGTTATTAATTTATTAATAATATTAATTCCATCGAGGGAGAGGAATGAAGAAGAAATAGAATGTGGAGAAATCCATTTGCAAATGGTTTAACAGAAAAATAGTCGATGAAAAACGGGTCTCATAATTTTTTGCCTCGCGTCTAAGAGAAAAGTGATGGCCGGTGATGCGAAGAAATGGAGAATCGGTCTCTTAGCAAAATCCAGTGGTGCCAGATGTCGTCGCGAATCCACGATGGAAAGAAATCCGCAAGATCCGTATTTACCGCGCACATAGGTGGCAAAGTTTCTCCAACTGTGTGTGAGTAATATCTGCCACTTGTCGAGGGCCGAGTTTTCGCAGCATTAACCAGAGAAAAATTCTTACGTTGCGAGACGTACTATGGATTGATATTGATCAGGGACTTGGTGATTTGAATCGGGCGGAAGTGTTGCGCCGAAAATGGAATCGAGTTTGAGATTCCAAGAATTGATGAAAAAAAAAAAAAAAAAAAAAAAA